ATATACAATATATGTATATAAACATATATTTTTATATATGACTTGGTGCCGGTTTTTGTGAGCGGGAAGAGGAGCAGGATATTGGTAAAGTAATACTGATATAAAAAAACACAATATCGAGCAACAGTGCAAAAAACTTTTTTTTGATAAACGACGACACTATTTCCAGAGTGCTAGTCAACGCTGGTGGCTCTTGCTCTCTGTGCAGTGACAGCTTCCCACAAGAAGTTCAACGTTGTGATGGAACATTTGCTTTTTAGAGGACTTCGAGCCGCTTGATACATAGAACACATTCTTCCTTCCTTACTGTCATGATATTGAGCGTTATATCATTCTACCCTACTGTTCCATTGTTCCTTTTTAGTTTTATTTCCTTCTTGGAATTCGTCGATATTCAGATTTATAAAAGTCTTTGAATCGTGTCTAGTTGATTTCTCTGAAGTGGTATAATTACCGTCATTATCACTCGCGATGCTTGTTTAATTTTATTACAATTTATCAATTTCTTGAACGTTTTAAGGTCCCTAATTGCAGAATGGTTTCGTTCGTCTTGGTAGAGGCGGAGTCTCAAGATGTCCTTATGAACCTCATTCAATATCTGGTGAGTGGATTGACTGTCCTGGCTTGTCAGCGAGTCTGGAGAGGTTTCAAACAATGTTTTCAGACTGGGAACTCTTTGAAGTTCACTGTGGCTACAGATATTCGCAGACTTTTCTCACGAACATATCTGGATATTGATAGCAGTTGTGCCGGTGATGTATCATCCTCGACCGGACATGCTAATCTTCATCAGAGGTCAGTTCGAATTGACCGGGGACTTGCTTCCTTGACTCCGCTTAACGATTGTGACTATAGAAGCGATCTCAACATCTCCTCTGGTGTTCCGTCTCAGTTCGGTGGTGTAGTGCCGAATTTGTTTGGTATGATGCCGAAGACCGAGCCAGAAACTTCATTCGCCAATCGTTGGTTATCATCAATGCAAAATGGTTCCCACGAAGTGAGTAGCCAAGCCTTTTCAGTAGAGTAACTGAAATTTCTCACTCCTCTAGATTTTGTCGTTGATTCTATCTCAAATAATATCCCCTCATTCTTGCCAGTCATATCCTTGCCTAGGAGTCAGCTCAGTGGCACCGGGGCGAAGGCGCTGAAGGGACTTCTGAGTTGACTCGTAGGGAATGGAATGACTGAAGTGGATGGTTATCGTTTTGTTCCTTCTTTCTTCTGTTCATATGCCACTGAATTTATTATTTTTTTTTTGTTTAAAAAAGTCACATTCAGATGACGAATGCAGAACTGTTATGCGATACATCGCCGTACATAGATACTTATCCATCTGTAAATACGAATTCCCTCGAATCACGAGCTCATCAGATTTTCGCCACCGGCACTAATCAACAGCGTGGACACAAGCGTTCATGGCATGGTGGCCACCACAATAGCAATACGGTTCGTCTTGTTTTTGTTTTTTCTTAGTTTCTTTCTTCACTCCATCTGCTCATTGGGTATTGTTTTAGCATTTGCTGCCAAACTCAAGCATGACCGTCGCAAAAACTGAAGAACCTGAGAAAAAAGAGAAAATGCGTGAGGTCGCATGTCAGGTAGGTTTTTATTTTTTTTTTTGTGTGCCGTCCGGATTTTTTCAAAAAAATTCTTCCCAATTTTTTAGCTCTGTGGAAAACGGATAACAATGCGCCGCTGCAATCTTCGCCACCATGCCGCTGTAGTTCATTCAGGAATTGAAAGGTGTGTTCCAGCTCGTTTTCAGGGGATTGGGGGGAGGGGGTCCCAAATGGTCCGGTTAAGCATACATTGTCGATGTAAGTCGCGTATGAATTTCTGAGTTCAACGAGCATTTTGAAAGTTTTGCCATCGCGTGCTCTGCTGTCATGTTTTGCGGATAACCATCAGCCTCCCAAAACAATTGCAAAATGTCTTTCTATTCCTGAATATTTTTCTTCCTGAATATCTTTTGTGATTGTAGAGAGTAATCCTTCTGAGGCTGTCTCTCTAAGGCCTAATTCGGTTGGTCAATTTTGACTTCATGAGGTATTTAGGTATGCTTGTCGATGTGGTTATACGACTGTTCATCGTAATACGATCATCCGTCACATGCTGAAACATTCCGCTGTCGAAGGCGAGAAAGAATACGAGTTCACGGATATGCTGTGAGTTATAGGAAGTTCCACAGTATCTCTTTGATAGGGTTGTCCAGGGACTCAAAAACGACACATATCTGTTCCATCAGTGAGCGATCCGAACTGGCTATCAAATTGCTTTTGTAAGTAGCTCGAGAGTCTTGACTTAGTTGCGTGAACCAATAGAGATTGAGGTGAAGTTCCCGAATCGAGACGGATTTACCTTTAGGAGGTTAGGAATTCTGTACCAAGGTGATCTGAAGTTACTATTTTAATGTGTTATTAATTAACATTTCTTCGAAGAGAGATTTGGATTAATGCCTTTTCCTCAGATGCATTGTCTTGGATAATTTGCAAATGCCTTCTTCATCGCCTATAGTTGAGATCTGCTGTTTTTTGTTCAGAACGCCAGCCGAAGCAGAGCAAATCGAAAGGCTTGCGGAAGAGTGCTTCCGAGAGTACCGCATTGTACCGCGAAGTACTGAAGAGGCAGACGAAACTGTGCGTTCTATGGAGACCAGCGGCGTCGAAGGTCATACTGAGGAAGTGGGCACTAATGGTCTTGAGCTGAACGCTCATGATCAGGAACTAGATACTCACGATCAAGAGCTGGGCACTCAAGGACAATAGCTGAATGAGATCACACTCTTCGTAGCTCTTCTCACCTGTATGTCGTTTTTAACGAAAAATCTACTACATAGCTCAACTTCTTATATAAAAATGACACTGAGAAAAAGAAACAAAAATCCGAAAAATACCAGTCTTTTTGGCGTTTAGGCAATCTTTTGGGTGTCTGGCTTGTGAAACAACTTTTTTTTTCGTGTTTTCTTCAGGCTTTTCTATTCAATTTTGGAACGTACTATACAAAAAGAAAAAAATTGTATAACTGAAAACTGAAGTGAAAAAATTGCATTAAATTTCGCATCAAAAGTTACTGCGAAAATAAAAGGAAACTAAAAAATGAGACAAACAATAGCTTCTTCCTTTATTTTTGCTCCTATCAATGCTTTTATGTAACTTCACCTGACCTTTGGATGTATTGGGAAATTTCTCTAAGGTGACGCTATCGAATCAATGCATAAAGGGAATTTACAAGCTAAAACAGACCTGAAACCGCGTTTTCGGTAGTAATGACCATCTCCATTATTGCCACCTTTTCTTTTGGCTTATCACTTTCTTTTATTTGTTCATGGAACAGTTTATGTCGAATTTGTTGTGTTTAGTGATGACCAAATATTCGTTATTTGATTTTTCTGTAAAAACTCGGTGTTGATTGGCAAGTGCTTTTGAAGTTATGATTGTACGGATCTTCCTTCCTGACGGCTGAGACAACTTCTCTGTTCAAAAAATTTTACTGTTAAAGCTTTTAATTGTTTACAGTGTATTGTATTGTATTGTATTGATTGTTTGTGTTGTTTAGGCTCCAATGAAGTATTCTACTCAACAGGTGCATTCTTTGGAAGTCTTAAAAAATGTTTTATTCACAGTGTATCAGAAGGTATTATAAGCACTCTGAGCTTGTAGGAATCAGAAAACTCGTCTCCTATTGAAATGTAACATTAAAAATTTAATTTCACAGAGGAGCACCTTTTTTTTCATAATCTTTCAAGAAGATTTGATACGCTGTGATGGCAATACATGAGATATCGAAGGATAGGTGGAATTTCGGGGTTCAGGGTATCAACATCGAAATGAACAGTATTTTCGGTTACGAGCAGGAAAGACTGAAGTAACTGGGGGTTAAAGGGGTGGATAAGGGGTGAAAAATGAAACCACCTCCTAGGAGCCCGAAAAAGTGCGTATAGGAATGTGAATGTGATATATTCAGATCCAATCTATCCATCGAAGGTGGCACTTGCTGCCTAGAGCTCGCAGGGATGAAGCAATCAAGTATAAATTTGAGGGGGAGACCGTAAGCTGGACCCTCGGAGGTCGTGGTTGCCAGCTTCGTACGAGTTGCATCGTCCTTACGTTGCTATTGTAGAATGTGCATGGGTTGGGGTCCGGGAACTTCTCCCCTAACACGGCGTCGCACACGTCGCACCCGCCGCCTATCGCAGGATTGCGATGGAAGATTGGAGCGCGCAATTTGTGAGGTAGGGAGTCCTTTAATAATTTGAATAGGCTGGCCGCTCTTTTCAATTCCAATGCGGTCTTGATCGTCTTTTATATAGGAGGAGTCATTTTAATCAATCAAGTCTAATAAACATGAAAACTAAAAAGAAACAGAAGAAAAAACGATCAAATCCAATGAAAAAGCAAGCCAGTCAAGGAAAAATATCGCGTCCTATCGATTGACGGGAGGCGGGGAGAGTACGGTAACTGCAATGACATTTGCCGCATGCCGCAAGGGAGAATGCCGCGATAGGGGAGAAGTTCCGTTACCCCATGGGTTGTGGCATTACTACTGTGTTAAACATGATAGGGGAGTTGGCTCCACTACGTAAGTGCCGCAGCATTCAAGGTCTAAGCCATGTGTCAAAGGAAGAAAATATTTTTCAACTCGTTGTATTCACAAGTCCTTTCCATTCCAAATAACTCTGAACATGGAAGGCTGAGGCTTTTGCTCTATGTTGTTAATCTGCTAGCCATCCTTAATGCGCAAAACTTTATTAAACCAGATATGAAGAGAAAAACACAAAACAGAAAAAACTAGGCTACTTCATTCTTAAACAGTATACTGATACGATAACATCATGTAGAACAAATGAAGGATAAATGTAGGATAAATAGTACGAAAAGGTTAACGGATAAATAGATAATTAACAAAAATAATGGCAAAAAAATGAATATTTAACAGAAAATAGTTCCCCTCAACAGCCAACATTCATATCAATCCAGTCCTCCAAAATGCACAGAATTATGCACCGAAATCGCAATGGATTATGAACACCTTGGCGAAAGGGAACGGAAAAGAATTCAATGTCCTTCAGCAAAATGGACGTTCGGGAAGCATCTCACCATGAACTCCTCCGTTGAAATGTGAGGCATTCTGCGTCTGAAACGAAAATGGTACCAAAAAATTTTTATTTTGAAAACTAACTGGTCTTCATAGATATGATGTTCAGAGGTGGTAGTATAAACACCGGAGAGGTAGGGGAAGACGGCAAATTTCCGTACCTATGGTAGAACACATGCTGAAGCAAGTTCTTCTGATCAAGTGAGCTGCGACATCCAAGTTCCTGAAAGGTTTTCGTAGTTTTGTGCAGGTTTACGGTGACTGTGGGCAATATTACGCTCATGATGTTCACCTGGCAAGCGTATCTAATTCTGTACGGATATCCCAGGCCTGCACGAGGAATCTCTCTCTGGAGCTGAAATAGGCGCTGAATTACGATTCGGCAAAAACCAACAGGTTAAGAATTGAATTAAACACAAATTGGAAGGGAACTCCTGAATCGGGAGGATAGGAAGGGCATGGTTAGGGAGGGGCATTGAATCGTAGTCGATTCGCTGCACATTGCGTGCAGAAAATTCAGCATGCATTCGACGATTTGGCATACATTGAGAGACATCGTAACATTTTGCAAAGAGAATTGCTAAAGTTATCTACCTCCCAATGTTAGGTAACAGGATCAGAATAGCAGAAGTTCTCGAAGGGGCCATACCCTAACTCTTATTAGTGCTAGACAGACAAAGGTAACTACAGACTTTTCACCCCCATCCACGAAAGACAAGTGCTCCTCCTATCCACACTTGATCATAGCAAGCATCAGAGTGTTAGGCAGAATCGTTTTGGATCTTGTAAACAACTGGCTGTGGCAAGCCTCTCTGCCCATAACGGAAAACATAAATCAAAACGGAAGCTTATACCTGTGGAGGAGGTTGTTGGTTTGGGTTCATGTTGAACTCGAATTCCTCCTGAACAAGACAGAATTATTTCCCAAACAACGTTGGCCAAGCATAGCTATTAGGCGGTCGTATCGCTCACCTTCCACAGATTTTTCTCTTTCAGCTTACCTCCTACTTTTCAGTATCCAAATAGTCTCTATCCTATATGGGTTGGGTTGCGATTGTGCCGAAGAAACGCCACCCTGCTCGTGCAAAGCATATTGATGCGGTAGGTGGAACGACTGCAGTGTGATGCGCTCCGTTCAAAAGCTGCGCAAGTGCACCACTGGAACCATTGTCCGACTGTGGACCTGAGCCTATCTGTAGCTCGCGTTCAACTGCGACAGCTAGCAAATTGCTGTCTTGACGTTAGATGACCACGCTGATGGTTATGGCAGTAGCACACAAATGAAGGGTTCCATAGCCCGGTTCACCCAAGCACCTCACCATCTTGTACACATGTGTATATGTGTGAGTGGTATGCATGTATGTATGTATGTATGTATGTATGTATGTATGTATGTATGTATGTATGTATGTATGTATGTATGTATGCATGTATGTATGTATTTAAGTATGTATGTATGTATGTATGTATGTATGTATGTATGTATGTATGTATGT